TATGTCACCTGTGGAGGCTCTCCGCTCAGCCCACATCTCCTCTAAACTCTGTTTTGGTTTGTTTTTTGTTGCTGTTTGTTTTGGGGAGGGTTTTTTGAAGGAGGCGGGGGGTTGGGGTTTTTTTTGGATCTGCTATGTGTTTTGTGCGTATTTTCTAGAGCATCCCAGGTTGTAGTGCAGACTAATACAGCATACCGTCCATCCCAGAGCCGCGCAGAGCTTCATAAAGTGTGTCTCATATGTGTGGTGACATTATGGTGCAGAATGCTGTTGCCGTGTTTGGTACGCTGTGTTTGATCTGTGTCTAGGTGTGCCACTGCTGCCGCATTGAAAGCGATTTCACCTCGAATTGGACTTTTCCTGCTTCTTATCATCAAATTTGAGAAAGCATAAGAAAACCAGTGTTCTCAGCGTAAACACGCTGCGATTAGTCGCAGTTTCTGTGCACCCACCCCTAAAACGTCGCCGTGTCACTAGGTTCAGTGGACTGGCTGCCATGCTACAGATCAACATTTCAACTCTCGGTGCTTTTGCGTCCTCGCCACTACATCGCCGAGCTACTTGCTGTTGACTGTCTACTAGCAGAATGTAACCCTGCTCATCTACACTGCTGTGGTTTTCTCTTTGTTTTGTTTTGTTTTTCTCTTTTAACTCTATCAAGGCTTCCAAGGAGGCAGGACAAGCCCTGGTGGGGAAGGCCCCCAGCCCTCCTTTCGAGAGCCAGCATCATCATCTGCTGCACTGCCTGGAAAAGACCACGGTAAAAAAACAGACAAAAAAAATCTTAGAAGACCTTAAAGCAATGTCGATTGGAAGATGAAAGCTTTGGTATTTTTTATTTTTTACTATCTTGGTAACAGACTTCACACGGTTTAAAATAGCTCTCTGTGGGGGGGGGAGCTCCTTTCATTGCATTACTCCTACAGTCTGCGCTGTATCATCAGTAGTTCAAACCTGTTACAGTGAGTTGTAAATAGAAACAAAGTGACTTTTTTTTTCATCTATGCTCAGACTGTACAATCTATTTCCTGTTCAGCATAAGTTAAAAATAGCTTTAAATGGGGCTGGGAAATGTTGAGTCCCCGAGCCAGCGACATGCTAAAGATAACGTGGCTCTGCCATCCACAAGGATTATTTCATCTAAACAAACCGGTGTACTTCATTTTACTGTATCAATAATTTAGAGATGCAGGGGCCTCTTTTATTCTTTGCTCTGACATGAGGTTTACACTCGTGCAGATCTAAACTCTGCAAACAGACGTATGCAGGGAGTGAATCAGTTTTTTTTGTCATGAGATGATCCCTCTCCTATTAACCGGCTTGCTTCTCATCTGGGAAAAGCTCCAAAAAATGGTTTCACACTATTCCCGTAGCGATGAAAAGGTTTGCATCAGGTCTTTTACAGTGTGCATTATAGATAACAGACAGAGTAACAGAGGTGAGTTATAAGATTCAAGGCACGGCATCAGATCTTGCACAGCCTTTCTCTGCCACCTGCTGGCGGGGCCCGAAACACACTTGAAGCCTGACCTTCAAGTTCTGCTCGTTTTTCACAGCGATAACAGTTGTGAATGTTCTCACAGATGGCACTTAATATGGACATCTGGGCCAATATATTTCTATTCCCTTGATGATTCATTTTCCAATTATTAAACAATTTTGCAGTGGATTCTGTTCAGTCTGTTTAGGCTTTACTGTGAAACATCTTTACTCATCATTGAACAGAGCCAATCATTGATGTAATAGAGTGATTCATAAGCAACACTGAATCCAATTTTTTTTTCCTTCTCCAGAATCACGAGTTTGTGGACGAGCAGACCTTTCAGGCAAACTGCATGGAGGTCTCCGTAATGAACAAGTCCGGCTCCCGGACCTCCTCCGTGTCCTCGTCTCCGCACGGCCTGGGCTCATGCTGCTCTCGACGCCATAGAAAGAAGAGCAGCTTCAGCCTGCCCAGCACAAATAACCAGGAGCTCAGCACCATACAGATAAGAGAGAGGCCAGTGGCTAACAGGTATGTAGTCTCTCTGACTTCACAGTGCTTTTTGGGATGCTGAGAAATTAAATAAATGACTTGTGTGTTTTTTGATTTGATCATTACCTCCACAAGTGATGTCACCTCTTCCCTCCTCAATAAATGTGGAGATATGCAGCAACAGCAAAGAGCAACAAATGAACAAGCAGCTACAAACACAAGGAAAGATAAAAAAGATCGACAGTACAGCTGGCATATACAGTATGTAGGTTGTATTGACATAAACGCACTAACGTGCTGTAGTTAATGGTGTTATCCCAGCACCGTGTTCCTGTTATCTCGGAATAATCCTCACTGTTTTTCACTGGAACTGCTTCCTGCCTAATTGCTCTCATGAAAACTGTTGAAAGCACATTCAGTGGATTATGCAGAGTAACAGGTCTTTTTTCTCCCCCCTTGTGAATACCACAAATTAAATACCCTTCCTCTTCATTATAACGGGTGGCAGCAGACTCCCCTGAGCAAACCCATTCCCATAGGCAAGTACAATATAAACGATCTGCAGTTCTTGTTACTTCAGAAGGTCAGAAAAAAAAGAATCTGCGATTCCAAACTGGGTGGAGTAGTCTGGTGCTATTGCTCTGAAAACGTCTACCGTGTGTGAAACATAATTTCAGTATTTACAATAAAGGACTGTTCTCGGACAGTAAATTAAAAATGTAGGATTTTTACAGCATATGCATCACAGGATGAACCACTTCATAAAGAGGGGGTGTATTCGTGTATGTATACAATCCTCACTCATGTATACGTTGTACAAGAACTTATTAAATAACAGGTTTGTGTCGTGTACATTTGCAAGCTCAGACCTTTCAGCCTCTTTTAATCCCTTGTTTTCTTTCACAGTCGCGCCAGCCTGAACGCTAAACTCGACGAGACCGTGCCCTTGAAATGTGATGAACCTTACATCACTCCCTCCATGGTCAGCTTATCTGCCCCGGTGGTGACTTCATCAGACGGGGACGGCTCCACCACCACAGCATACTCTCAGAGCAACATTGTCCGAGTATCTGCCTTGTAGATGTCACGCCTATCTGATCGGCTAACTGGTCTCAAGAAGCACCAGATGCTGAGGAGAGGGACCACCGAGCATCAACCTGCCATAATCTAAGAAGGATTATAAGATTAACAGAGGTCGAGGGTTTTTTTGAAGTTGTTATCTCATCTGATGTCAAACTCTGCATGGTATTAATATGATGTGGACAGCTGCCTTGGAAGTGAACCAGCAGATCTTGCTCCATCAAGCACAGCAAGAGCAAGGAAGAGGGCGAGGAGCGCGTGGTCATCGTCGTTGCCTAAAAATACTGAGGAAAAAAGAAAAACAACTTTATTTTTGATTATGTAATGTAGTCATATTTGTTGTCTATGATTTAAGGAGGAAATGCGGATGTTTAAAGGTCATTCTCGATGGCCTCTGATGACAAAGCACACATATTCATTGCCTGAAGGCGATCTTTGTGAATATTAAATCAGTCTCCTTTACACATCGCGGGACATTCGTTTCACTCACTGCTTGTTACATCGATTGTTTTGAACCCCAACCCCCTTCAATGAAATGTTTTCTAACGCTCCCCTCACTGTTGTAAATTCCAAAAATCGTACATCCACCGGAATGGATAACTGTTGTGAATATTCATTAACTGACTCATTAACTAGTTGAAAAACATCGCTTGATGACGAGTAAAAATATACTACGCATCCTGACCATGTTTGTGAAATGTGCAAAGTGAAAGTCAAATGACGAATTCTGTGTTAGCTTACATATTTGACATCCTGATATGGATCTGTGTGACAGCCGCTGTCGTTAGTTAATAATTGATACTGAGAACTATACAGGGTATATATTAGTTAGGTCACAAGGTAGAAACATAAGTGAATGTTCTCGGCGGCACTTAACTAATACTAACCCTAATGTGAACACGTGGTATTTGGACTGAAAACTATATGAGAGAGTTTTGAGCATCAATTCCAATGACTTACCAATTCTTATGATATTCAAAAGCAAGCCTCGGTGGAAGTTACTGTGTCAAAGGGCCATTTTGTACACTTTTCATGTTGTAAATATCTCAGTTAGGACTTTCTCAACCGCATTTGAAGCTGGCTCCTCTCTTATTTCTAGATTTAGTTGACACTTGTTGGCATTCTCTTTCTGTCTGTTAACTGGTTGAATTAAGGATTTGCATGCTCTCATTGCCGAATTCTGTTTTATTAAAGTATGTCTCTGCTTCTTGTTGGTTTGTCAGTAAAAACGAGATCGGTGGGAAGGAAACAAGTGAGCCTGGTATGTCATGATGTAAATTCTGCTTTTAATGAAACACAAGTCTTGTCACGGACCACATATGTAAGCGGCAAGTGAAAAGGGGACAAATGATCACACACATTGTGCATTTGGTGCAGTGGATAGAATAAATACTGTAGCTCTATGGAAACATCCATTAAATGACCCATGTCTTTTCTTTTATTACAAAAAAAGAAAGAAAAATAATTAGGTAGATCTGGTAATGTTTTTTTCACGACCACTCAAAGAGCATCTTTTATAACAGGATGGCATAATAATTAGGTGCTGCTGGAGGACATGTGAAGACCTGACTGGCCCAGCGGTGGGTCGCGGCTGCAGGGTCTCTGGAGGCAGACTGCAGGCCTCTGTGATTGTTTGACAGAGAGCGCAGCACCGACCCCCCCTGCAGAGCTGATTGCGTTAGTCCAGGCAGCTTCTCACAGCATGCACTGCCTCTGCTCTGCAGTGTTTAGTAACTGCTGAGAAGTCAGCCTGCATAAAATCTAAGATAACGCAGCGGCATATAAAATAATAAGCTTCTTATACCCAAATATAAAAAAAGAAAAATCCCACTTTGACGACTGGGATTTAATTTAGTTAATATTTAGACAATGACTAGACAAATGTTATTAAATTCTATATTCACTTGCACAGCGAATATGAATACAGTCATTGGGTCATGAAAGTCTATCTTTTCTTATGAAATATGGACTTCATCCTATTTTTCAGCCGATAAAATTCTGAAGAAAACTGAGGGTTTACTGCAGCGTATATGATTGGGTCACTTAGTGACGTGAGGCAGGCAACAGACACTGACAGGACCTCCATGTCTTCAATGATAATTATCTGAAAAACAATAGACAATTTTAAGAATTAAGAGATCTTTAGATTAACTTTGTATAACACAACAGAGATTTTCATGTGAATCCCATTTCATTTACATAGCACTAAATCACAGCAACAGCCCCCCCGACGTGTTTTATATTGTAAGGTAACGACCCTGCAATAATGGAGAGAAATCACAAGCCTATTGCTGCTGGCACTTACCTGTGAGTTTGTGTTTTTGCGTATCAAGTAATTCACCAGTTTCGTTGTGATCAGTGGTAACCAGAATAAGAGGAAGGTTAGAATTATATAGCCAGCACGTTTAGCCATTTTGCCCTCTTTCTTTTTGTTTGCTCTCTCTCTACTTGCTTTTGAAGGCATCATGCAAACAGCCCCTTCTACCGCTGCAGGGAGTTGCATTGCTTCTGTTTCGGGGACGTTGCTTGAGACTGGAGGTGAAGCGGTCACCTGAGCCTGTGAGGCAACAGTCAGTGTTTCTCCTTCATTGCTGTTTAGGGCTTGGTCAGGCTCTGTCAGTAAGATAGTAGTAGACTGAGAATTTACATTTGGTGCAGGCAATGATGGGGGCTGCAGGAGGCTGTTTTCTTTGGATTCTTCTTCAGACTTCAGTCTGTCTTCGGATTGTTCCTGTGTGTTGAAACTGACTGACGCCTGCTTTGTGGTTAAGCTCTTAACATTTGAATCAGCATCTCCATTTGACAGATTCACTTCAACCTTCATGACATGGGGGTTTGACTGCTCTGTTTTTAAAGGTTTTTTCTCAGTAAGCACTGTAGCCTGTACTGGAAGGGGCCGAGCTTGTTTTGTTTCTGCATTGCTCATCTTCACTGTATCTTTAAATTCTTTCTTATCCTCTGAATTGATGGAGACAGATTGTACTGATTTTTCCTTGGGTGAATTTGATTCAGCTTGTGTCTGAGCATTGCCTAAGCTCAAAGTGGGGTTTTGCTCAAATCTTCCACATTCATTTTGCACCACTGCGGCTTTTTCTTTCTCCGGCTTCTCTTCATTTTTGTCTTTTGTAGCAAGAGTAAAAGTACCTTTGTCAAATATTTTACGGCTGTGTGATCTCACCAGGGCAAATATGCGAGCGTAGAATCCAATGATGACACCAAAACACGCTGCCCACAGTGGGAATAGCATGTAAAGCCCAAATTTGTCATAAGAGAATAACGTTTCTCTCTGTTGCCGTTGGCATTTCATATGCAAAGGTGAGTCCCTCAAAAATATCACACAAAAAGCAGACACCAGAATAGCGAAGGTCCATGTGAGAGGAATCAGCGCCTTAATTCGCCTTTTCCTTTGATTGGCTTTGAAGGGCTGTGCAATGGCCTGGTATCTCTCTGCACTTATGCACGCCAGTGTTAACAGCTGGATACAGCAGCTGAATGAAAAAGAGGCCATTTGTATATCACAGATGAAACTGTCCACTTTTCTGTTTCGATACACACTCACAACGATGGTTAAGAGAACCGGGCAATCGATTACACATCTCAGAAAGTCTATAACAGCCAGACTGACCACCAGCGCGTTAATGGAAGTTTGCAGGGACTTTTGCCGATACACCGCCAGTATGACAAAAACATTTGCCGCAGCCCCCACAACAGAAGTGCTGGAGAGAATAAAGCTGTTCGCCAGCACAAATGCGATTTCAACGTATTCCTCCAAGGCTGTATTGTTCCCAGAGTCTAGTGCAGGTGTGGGCTCGCCTCTCATCTCTGGATTCAAAGAGCCAACATATTTAGTTCTTTATCATCACTCTTTCCACGCTGACCAAACGCCTGCGTCCCTTATCGCCACTGAATGAATAATATTAACTGGTAAACCTGTAGCTCAGACAATTTTGCGCCAAAGAATCCGCCCTTTTCATTATCACTCGACAGCACAGGCGGGTCACCTGGGAGTCCTCAGTGTTCACATTCATTAAAAGCTCTGCAGTGTATTCACAGCAGAGACAACTGGGGGAAAACGATGGCTGTTAATTAAATAGCAATTACGTCACCATTGTCTCAATCCTGATATAACTGCAAAAAAAAAAAAGGCAGGCAGGGGTTCAAATCTATAATGCGGCGATGATGACGGCATGGCACTGTAATGCACAGGATACTGTACGCATATGTGCGAACTGAACAGCTGTCCGTGTCATATTAATACAGTGCACCACAAAGGTTAAAAGCTTTGCATTAAGCATGCCAGATGGATGACTTGGGAGTTCTTGAATTGGCTCAGGATATAAAGCGAGCAATGCTGCAGGATTATTGCACGACACTGTGTAATCCTGTTTGGAGATAAAGTGTGAAATGCTCTTTGCTTCAAATATGCAAGCTATGGACTACACCAAATCTGGGATTAGATTAATATATAATGCATTTTGCTTTTGATCATCTAACATATTAGGCTGATCAAATATCTCCCAGTAACATATGGAATCAAATCAGAAGTTCTGGAAAAGAACAAAACCAGTTATCACACATCTGACAATATCTGGACGCCAAAGACAATATGCAGCTTATAACGACAAGATAAAAGATCAAAAACACTTTATTCTGAAGCAGATGCCCATCTGCAATATTTACAGCGCATCAAACAGGTGGGTGGGAACAATGTGAGCAAGAGAGTGAAACAGATTCACACTAATATAACAAAGCTTACATACAGACAAAAAAAAAAAGACAATGTAAAATATTCTAGCAGAGCACTAAACAATTACCTGAAAGATATCACTCAGCTGTGCACAGTGTAATGTGATGTAATGTGACGTGTAGATTTAATTTAAAAATACTGCTACAGTTTTATAACTACAGTGCGCCAAAGGGGAAACTAGCTCTTTCTCCGTACTTGTGGCTGTTCCTGAAGCCCGAGAGTGGATGGATTTCATTGATTAGGACCACTGAGAAACTGATCTGCTGCTCACAGATGGAACGGTCCAGCTGCTCAAAGCTGAAGTTTGACTTGTCACATAGTAATTTTATGAGTAAAACTAATGATGGATTGTTACAGTGATTGATTTAAATTAATTATCCTGTTTGTTAGCACCAACTCAAGAGTGAAAAAAAAATTCTCCTCAACTGGGTGCTTTTACTCCATCGTTAATCAGCAATGCATTTTTCTCTTCGTGACTCATCGTTGCTTCAGGAACGTGTCACGTGGGACACGATGTCCTGAATCAGACCCAGAGATGTTATTATGTTACCCTTCTCTGAACCGCCTAATGCCCCTTTGAACTGTCTACACAGATGAAAAAGCACAAAATAATACAAATGAAAAATTGCCAGACCACAGAGCAGGCTAACCAAGTAAAATGAAAGTCTTTTACTGCCTGACTGACTACTCATTGTTAAAACATGCACAAGGTGAGCTGTGCAGCAAGCTTGCTTAACAAGTGCACCGAAATTTCTCATGTTTTCCTAATGCGATTTTGTGGGAAGAGAAAATCTGATTTAAGCATATTATTATTTTTTTGCTATTTCCCTAGAATAAAATAATAATAATTTTACCGAGTACATTGTGTATTCACAAAGGAGCTCGACAAAGAAATAATGCCTATATACACTGGAGCAATGTTTTTGTGCAGCAGACGTTTGGAAAGTGTGAGAGTTGGGAAAAGGCAGGAATTATTGCATAATCCAAAAACAAATAAAATTATTTGACCAAGCTGTCAGTATTGATTAGACCACGGAGCTGGCTACTGTTGACTTTAATTCAATTTTTTGTTGTTGTTGCATAATGCTATCACACAGGAGGATGGTGTGCTGTATAGCTTCCATAAAAACAGATCACCTGTTACCAGAACAGTCCTCCTAATGTAAGAAGGGTCACAAGGTCTACTATATGCATGAATTAACAATTCATTACCTAACAGTTCAACAATATTAGGAAGAAAAATAGGAAATGACGTCTTATATGAGTAAAATGAGTAGAAAAAGATCCACTGCATTTAATTTATGCAAAAAAAAAAGAAAGAAAAAAGTCTAGGATTTCAGTTTCCCGCAGTCTTTCTCTGCAGTCTGGGTGTGTTTAACCATCCTAGTGTGTTTAAAAATGGAAAGAAATTGAAAACCACATACATTTTTTATGTAGTGTATTTCTGTTTGTTATATATCTTCTTTAATTCATAAGTAAAAATCATTACTGGTTTTGTTAGTAAAATGTTACAGATCAAAAGAAGAGACTACAAAATAACCACACAATATAATATTCTAGTCACGAAAATACATTTAAAACAAAAAAAATAACACAACATTTACATGGTATTGGGTTGCATTACAGCATTTTATTATGAAGTTTCCTGTTTTTTGTCCAACCTTCTGAATATCCCTGTCAGCCTCTGAGCTGATTCTGTTCTCTAACAACATTGGTACCTCTGTGACAGACTCGAGTCTGTAGGTGTCCTGGTCTGTCTTCTTGATGAGGCACCAGTAAACGCTGACAACCAGGACAGCTTTTTTTTGTCACAGAGGCAACACCTTGCTGTGTGTGTTGACGCTTCTGCCAAAGGAGGACAGGCAGCTCCCCTTGTTCACAGAGTGCATGCGGATGCTGACACTGGTGGACCCATGAGGAATGTAACGGCCGCAAGACAGCACCTCCAGAGCACAATCACGGAACTGATAGGAAAAAAACAACAACCAAGAACAAGAACTGTCAGGAAATATATGAGCAATAATTTCACAAACAGTGTTTCTTCAATCTTTGTTCACAATCAAGATTTTATCTCAGTTCTACAGTACCGGTGTGCTTTTACCTGTTTGTTGGAAAGGAAGTAGATGATGGGGTTGTAGACTGGACTCGTCTTGGCAAAGTACATTGGCATGGTGGCAACTAGAGGAGGAATGTGCAGCTCTGGATCTATAACTACCACCAATGACAATGCTGTGTAGGGCAGCCAGCAGACAAAAAATGCTACTACCATGGCCAACACCATATTGATGGCATGATCATTCTCTTTCTGGCTGGAACGCCCACCTTGTAGCTCCACACTCCTGTTCAGCTAGAAGAGAGCAAAGTTGGGCCACATTAAAAGCTAATTACTTGTTTTACTATGCATGCGGTAGACTGCAAGCAAACATAGATAGATGCATGAATTTTAAATGTTGCTTAAATGGCGTAATGAATAAGCAAAAGCTATTACACACCCACCTTACTCATGGATTTCAGCAGTTTAAAGTAGCAGTAGATGATGATTGCAACTGGAATAATGAAGCAGAGGAGTGTGTAGAAAATGAGATAGCTGTAGTTGCTCCATGATCTCTCTTCCCAGGCCAGCGAGCAGGATGTCTGGACCCCCTCAGGTCCGTAGGAGCTCCAGCCAAATAATGGCGCCACAGCCCAAAACAAGCAGAAGATCCAGACAAGCAGCAAGCCAAAGATGCTTCTCCGCATGCTCAGCTTTAAACCAGCTTTTGGCTTGCATACCACATTGTATCGCTCATAGGCAAGAAGAGTAAGAGTGCAGAGAGACACCAAACCTAGACAAGACAACAACAACAAAACATAACTGACATTTAGACAGTTCAAGGCATACTTGGATTTCTTTTCTTTTATAGAGTTATCAACTCTGAGTTAGAGTTAGAGTTATCAATGATTTTTGAGTATGCTCGGGTGTCATGAAGAAGATATCTGATAAATCTGACACGTGACTAAACTCCACATACAAAGAAAACATTCATAAAACACAAAAACTATCAAAGCCAAATTAAAGGAAGAAACAAAAGTCATTTCTTGAAATGCTAAAAAAGATGCTCCAAAAATGTAAGATTTTCTAATGTTTCTTGGTTCCCAGGACATTTAAAAGCAGAATGGGAAGCAGAGCCTTCAGCTTTCAGGTTCCTCCCTAAGCCTGGTTCTTCTGGAGGTTTCTTCCTGTTAAAATTGAGTTTTTCCTTTCCACTGTTAAATGCTTGTTCACACGGATAATTTTCTCTCGATTATTGTAGGGTCTTTACGTTACAATATGAAGCTCCCTGGGCAACTGTTGTTGTGATTTGGCACTGTATTAATAAAACTTAATTTTCTAGAAATCTAAAGCATTAGTCATTTTAATTAGTATGTCTCACTGTGACAGAATGACAATAGCAACTGGATTCATACACTACATTTTATTATGTGTAAACTCAATGTGCTTAACAGAAGAAACAAACATATAAACCTCTGTGTGTAGGTCTGCTTGAACAAAAAAGGTTTTGAGTCTATTTTTGAATGTTGCTGATGTTAACTGATCTCAGGTCAGCAGGCAGCTTGTTCCAAAGAGCAGGACAACAGTATCTAAAAGAAGCACCATCAGCATATTTGGATCTGATTCTAGGAACGTCAAGATCTACACCTGATCACCTGAGAGGTCTGACTCGGTCATAAACAGTGAGCAAGTCAGCGATGTACTGGGGGTGTTCAAACCATTAAGAGCTTTGTGACCGATAAAAAAGATTATTCTTTTTTAAGGTAATTCCATGCTGTACTGGGAGCCAGTGCAGTGCCTTCAATAGTGGGGTATCATTGTCCTTCATACCTTTAAGAATTCTGGTTGCTGCATTTTTAATGAGTTGAAGTAATTCTACTGATGATTTGGAGTGTCCTGAAAACACAGCGTTATAATATTCGAACATCCTTGATATGACAGCATGAACCAGTTTCTCAAAATCAGTTTGAGATAAGAATTTTCCAACTTTTAAAATATTTTTGAGTGATAGAAAGCAGTTCTGGTTAAATGAGTAATTATC